GACATTGTATTGATTTCAGGAAACCCCGTTCTTGAGATGATAAACGTGCCTGTTAGGTTCACTCTTTGTTAACTTTTTTTTCCTGGATTTTAAGTTAGTGGGACACGATATCGTTATTTTTATTTTTTTACCCCGGGGGGGGGGGGGGGGGGGGGGGAGGAGGAGGAGGAGGAGGAGGAGGAGGAGGAGGAGGAGGAGGAGGAGGAGGAGGAGGAGGAGGCGGCGAGTGAGTGAGGTGAGGGAGGGGGGGGAGGGTAGGGTCATTTGCAGCAAACACAAAGATAGATACTCATGTTGCTTTTAAGCTGTTCTTGATTCAGCTACAATTTCACAAAGTGGGCATTCACACCTAAACAAAATACATACAAGAAATCAAGGTTTATTTACTTGTTTATTCAGTTACCCTCAGGGCCAGAGGTATTAGAGAGGAGAGTGGATTATGCAAGAATAGAAACTCAACAAAGCATGCACCAACAACAAAACAATAACCCAAAATATTGTTAGTGCTCTTTAAAAGAACAATTTTAGCCATGGTAGCTTGGACTTGCATTATTGGTAATTTCGGCTGACTCGGGGGAAGGCAATTTCACATGTCAGAAGCGCTGGAAATAAAATAACAATAAAAAAAATTCTGTGAAAAATGTTTAAAAAAAATGATTAAATGATTTTGTAAAGTCTTATTCATAAAGCATACTGCTTTACGCTTCACTATTGACTCTGTTTGGGCTGTTGGCAAACAAAAAGAGAGGTTTGAATGAACACCAGTCACCCAACTTCAGTTCATTGACATGTTGAGTTAAATCGGGGTACTTTTGAGGATACAAATGGAATTCTAAAACAACCTTTATTGTGCAGAAATTGTTAAGGCTGTGGCAGTGATATGCAATTGATGGCATGTCCTAAAAGCCGCCTCGGTGTTTGGGGAAGGGAGAGTTGCTGTTTTTCAAACATCCTCCAGTTTTGTTCACCACTTCAGCTTTTGCTCTTTTCTGGCATTTGTCGCTGTTGTACTCTTCCATTTCTCTTCGAAGCTTGAGGCAGGTTTAGAATGCTATTGATTTCTTGAAAGAAGGGTTTGTAATATCTATGTATGCCATAATTCATTGTGTTGACTCTGCAGATATTCCTCTTTTGTGTTGTACCTTGATAAGAATGCAGTTCTGCTCGAAAATTTTATTGCCCTCCATGTTGACCCTTTGTATTGCTACATTTTATTACCTATGGGTCCAATGAAAACCATACGAACAGGACTAAGGTCTAAGGTCTACTTTATTTGCAAGAGTCAAACGTTTTTAGAATGGGAAATTGCAAAATCTTATATTATTAGAATGCATGAACAAAAATTTTACCCTGTTTTTATGATTGAGTAAACCATAATCTGTGGGACAGTGTGGTCAATTTTTCTTTCTCGTTCTCTGTGCAGAAACCAGGGAGGTTAACTGAAAGATTTTTTTTTTTCTGTCGCAATTTTCGCAAGCAGTCAATGAATGAAATAGGGTGTTCTCAATTCAGGCACAGTTTTGGAGTAAAACTTTATTTTTATCAGAACAACATTTTTTGGGAGCATTCATGAAATGAATCACAGTGCTAACAGCAAGCTTGGCAGATTTTTGGTTTTCGAGTTATTGACCATTGAAGTGTCAGAGGCAAAACTGACGTTTTTCCCACCAGGTCGGGGATTGCACGTTTGGCTGCCTGCTAGTTTCACATTTTTAAAAATAAAGCACTAAGAACCTTTTGTGACACTCTCAAAGTAGACTTCATTAGGCTTTATGAATTTTTTAAAAATCTTAAATTTTGAAACATTTGATTTTAGAAAAGTTGAACAGTGTTTTTTTGAACGATTTTCTGCAAAGTTTGGCATGTTTTTACGTGTAACAACATATTTTAATGACCTTCACATCACCAGTAAGGTCATATCTAACTCTTTTCAATAAATATAATCTAAATATTATATGTACTGCTCAGTTTTTCTTATTAATATCAAGGTATAAGCGTGGTTTATTAGAAAATATTAATATATAGTAGTTCCTTTATATGAACGCAATTAGAGCTTGAACCTTGTCAGATGCATGTTTAAAACGGCAAGCTTTGTTGCAGTGTGAAATGTGTTTCGCTTTTCATTAAGCACAATTTCACCTATTTTTAAGGTTACATGTTAATCGAAGTAGTAATATAGGGTATTAACTATATACCACACCACAATGTTGACCAGAATAGCATCTATCTGAGGGCACAGTCGCAACAAACAACTGACAAGAATTGAAACTTTAATTGTGGTCATAAAACAAAATACTATATTTTTGTTTATATTTGCTGATAAACCACAATCGTAGCTTGCTACCAATAAAACACGAAGCAAATTGAAAATCAGGTCTTTGCGAAAATCTGGCCCGAATCTGCTGGACTTTCGAAATATTTGTTCATTCAAATGTAACATTTTATTTTAAACATGTTATATTGATTTTGTATTAAATAAAAAAGGAGCTAAGTTTGAGGTTTCCGACACTGTCAAAGTCGTTAAAATATCTTAAATAGGTCGCTCTGAAAAAATTGCCCAATTTTCGGAAACCTGCAGGGAATCACACTTTTGACCATTTGTTATTTTGTTCTCAAAATACTGCACTCTTGTGGCACTCTCAAAATAGATTTATTATGCTAAATAAATTGAAAAAGGTTATTACTTTTAAAAGTGATTTGAAGAGAAAAGAAAATGTTGACCTTTGATCATTTTTGGCATAGTTTGGCAATTTTTCTGATGTGACCTATTTAATGTATTTTAATGACCTTGGCATCACCAGAAAGCTAAAACTTGGCTCTTTTTATTGAATACCAATTAAATATGTTTAAAAAAATGTTGCATACATTTGAATGAATGTATTTTTCGAAAATCCAACAAATTCAGGACAGAATTTTTCAAAAAGCATCATTTTTTATTTGCTTCATGTTTTAGTGGCAGCAAGGTGTGATTGTGGTTTATCAGCAAATATAAGCACAAAATATAGTATACTGTTTGTATGACCTCAATTAAAACTCAAATCTTGTCAGTTGTTCCTCGTGACTGTGTCCTCACGTAGCCTAGGTGCTGTTCTGGCCAACATTGTGGCGTGGTATAGTTAATTACCTAATATTAATACTTCAATGAGTAAAAAGTATTTTACTCTGAAACGAAGCTTGCCATTCTACATTGCATGTCTGGCAAGGTTGAAGCTTTGATTGCACTCATATAAACAAAATATGATATATTATATTTACATGTCTCAAGAAACCATTGTTGCTACAAAAAAAAATGAAGCAAATAAAAAAATTTGATTTTTTAGCAAATCAGATTCGAGTTAGCTTTATTTTCTAAAGGTTTGTTCATTCAATTGTATGTAACCGATTTTATTTTGTAGATATAATGAATGTGTATTCATTGAGAAGAGCTAGATGTTAGCTTTCTGGTGATGTTAAGGTCTTTAAAATATCTCAAATGAGTCTCACTTGCCAAACTTTGCTGAAAATCGTCAAAAGGTGTTCAACCTTTTTTTTTTAATTATTCCAAATATATGATTTTTCTTTAGCCTTTAAAGTCTAAATATTTAAATGAATTCCAAAACAGAAGTCTTTAAGTAAGCCTAATGAAATCTCCTTTGAGAGTGTTATAAAAGAATCTTAGTGCTTTATTTTGAGAAATGAGGAAACGGCAAGTGGGTCAAACATGCAATCCTTGATCAGTGGGGGAAGCGTCAGTTTTTGCTTCGGCTTCTTCAATGGTCAATAACTCAAAAACAAAAAATCCGCCAAGCTTGCCATTTCTGCCATCTTTCGTTTCAAGAATGCACCCAAAACATATCTTTTTTTGGTCAAAATTGAACATTTGTCTCCAAAACCGTGCCTGAATTGAGATTAAAACTCCCAATAACATTTGCGATAATCAGTTGGCTCAGTCAAGTTGTGTGCCAGCTGAAAGTTTCTGGAAACGTGGAAATTTGCCGGTAAATTTGCTAAAGACACTACCGTAAAATATTGCAAAAGCGCTCACTTGGTTCAAGCGCCCACTACTAACATTTCCCAGATTTAGGAATTCTTCAAATTATAGTACCGTAAAATACCGGGCAAGCACCCACTCAAAATTTAGAGATAATCGCAAAAAAAGGGGGGACAGGCGCTTGTCCGGTCATCAGTTTTACATATCAATGTACCGTGCATATTTGCTCAGATCCTACAAATTTAGGAAATTTGGGAATGGGCGCTTAGTGTGGAATGGGCGGATGCACGGTATTCTACGGTACATGAAGCACCCGATTTGACCGGAAAAGTGCCCATGTCTAGGTAAACCCAGTTTTCGGTGAAAGTAGGGTGGCATTCCTCCAGTATTTTACAGTAACAAACATTGCTTGAATATTAACCCAAATATTGGGCCAAAATAAATTTTTGGGGCAAAGTTATTGAATTTACAATTTTGGTCCTCACTATGTTTTCAAAGTGAAAGTTTCTACTGGCAAGAATGAAAAAATGACTGACGTCAGGCGAAGGCAAGGATTCACTCTTTGGACTGTATATTTGGTTTTCAATTGATTACAAGCAGTTTCATAGTGTCAGATGAATGCTTTGGAAGCTCGCTCCAGCACCCGCGCAGTAATACGAAACAAATGCTGGGCATAGTCTCTTTTTAGACTGCCCTCCCAACCTGCATGCCTGCCTTCCCTTGACTTCACGGCACTGGGGAATATTTGAATGCTGGTTTGGACATTGTTTTCACTTGCCGATTTCGCAACAACTATTCAGAATTTTGCGATACTAAATAGCATATCGGAAAGGGTAAAGGCCGGTGATTTCAAGAATATAGTTGGGTAACTAAACAAATCGCCGGAGTACGCCTTTAAGGTTTGGCGATTTCTAAGTACCTTGTCTGGAAGCATTAGTCCTTCCAAGAGGTGCCAGTGTTAACTACCTGAGCAAGCTTTCCAGGCTCACAAACCATATTTTGTGCCCTCTATGGTTTCTGTGTGGCGCAGAAAGTGGCTGACCAATCCCGTGCGAAAGCTGAGCCATGGCCGCCTGGATAAGGTGGATCCTGCTGCTGCCAAAGGCACCCCCACTCCACCTTCTAAGAAGCTGGCACCTCCTGCTGTCCCACATACCTCCAAGGTAGGCCATGGCCACACTTGCATCCAGAAACTCCCACAAAGCCCAACCTGGTTGGCCTTATTGTTTTTACCTATTAACAGAGCTGGTGAGAAATACTTTGACACAATTTGTTTTAGTAGACTAATGATATTGTTCATGAACAAGTTCTTTTGCAGTTGTAGTACAAGTACATATATAGGGTGGTTCAAGTCACCAGGCTCGATCTAAAATGGACCGTAAAAATCGACGCCTACCTGTAGCCATCTAAACTTTTCGTCAAAGGTGTACTTCACAGGTCGGTTTTTTCTTGTAAAATTACAAAGCATAGATCTCTTTTAGTAAAAAATAGGGCCAAGAAACTTGCCAGGGTCTGTGGCGGGCGGCGACCCAGACGACGGGGTCCAGTAGCGGGGTGTTTTTATGGTTCGTATTGATAGATGGCGTCGGGAGCAGCGTCTGAAGGTGCAGCCGACCAGGAAAAGATAGCAGACGACACGCAGACGAAATACGTTGGCAGCAAAAGCGCCGCCGTTATGCAGACGCGTTTTTTTTACTTTAAATTTTGCTTATATTGTTCGCATTTATTTTTTAACCGAAGCTAAATTTCAAAACGATCATATTCATTTTAATAAACCACGGTGGTCGCGAGCCGTCGCGATAAGGAGGTAGCGCCATCTATGAATACGAACGCCAAACAGACCCCGCTACTGGACCCCTGTCGTCTGCGTTGCTGCCCGCCGTAGACCCTGGCAAGTTCCTTGGCCTTATTTTTTACAGAAAGAGAGTTACGCTTTGTAATTTTACAAGAAAAAAACGACCTGTGAATAACACTTTTGACGAAAAGTTTAGATGGCTATGTGCAGGTGTTGATTTTTACGGTCCATTTTAGATCGAGCTTGGTGACTTGAACCACCCTATATATAATTTCAAAGCAATGAAAAACTTCTTGGCATATGCAGTAATGCCAAGTAATGCACATCGCTCTCAGTCATGTGTCCAGGATCAATCTGATTCATTCTTTTTGTAAATCCTTGATGCATCCTGGAAAAAAATCCAAGCCTTTTAATACAACTGAAAATTTGGTATTAGAGCCTGCACTGGGTTATTGGGAATGCAGTTCTGCAATTTACTTTGTCACGATTCAAGTTGTTCAAAGTTTAATTAAAAACTCCATTGGTAAATGGGGAAGGTATTGCTACACAACGGTGACATATAAGCTGTGCCAAAAGGCTTACCCTGCTACATTTTACCAAAATGGGAGAAATGAATGCCTACAGTGTGCCACAAGTTAATTTGACTTTCTCAATTTCCTAATTAATAGCTCAGGCTCCACTACACTACCAGATTGTTACGATTGGCTCGTGCAGATTTTTTTAAAAAGTTTTGATTGACAAACTATAGATTTTATCTTTGTATCAAACACTGACAATACTTGATAATTCTGTGATATTTCTCATTATTCATGGTCTGTTCAGGCAGGTTAGTTTGTTCCATTGAGTATGCTTGTCTCCACACTTTGGGGCACTGTGGAGAAGTGACACCCGCAGTAGTATAGGCATTTAAATATTTTCATTGGTCAAATTGTATGGAGGTGGTGGGGACCAGAGAAATAGTGCCGATGTATTTCCATTGCTGAGAGTTTATTAGGACGTCTTGCCATCTACAACTGGCCATTTTTATTGACTAAAGCCCTACAAACAATATGCCATCAAAAACAAGCTTCTACAAAAAGTAGTTGTGCCCCTTTACGCTATGCATGCAAAAAAATCCACTTAAAAAAAAAGAAGAAAAAATTGTGCTCGCGTTTTTTCGTAGGAATGCATCTATCTACTAGCAGGGAAGAAATGCCAGAGCGCCTTGGTAGGCCTCGTCTGTGGAGCATGAGCAGTTGGTGGTATCGTTGTAGCTGTTTCTGGAAATTCATGAATCTAGCGGCCGTGCTGCGACGTTTGGAGTGCTTCTTCTCTTTTGCTGCTTGGAGTCTAGACGCGCGTGGCAAGCATGTGCAATAATGCCTGTAACCAAACGACTTTGTCAGTCAAGTTGATTACATGAAGCTGTCAGAGTTCCATCGAAGCCTACACAAAACCTAGGATTATTTAAGTTTGTGAATACAAATTTGTTATTAATAAGGTTTTGTTGTATGCCATGGCCACATGTACTCGGAATACCGCACATATTACATTGCGTGCACAAACACACTTAAGAGCGTGTTGGCATGTATTTATTGATCATCTAATTTCTCAGAAAATCAACATCTACTCTATAAACTTAAAAAAACAAAAAAAAAAACAATTGGGATTAATTTTTTTTTTTCCGCATGTTTAGGGTGTTTACTTTTGCTGGGACCGCTTCCACACTCCTCCTTTTTTGTCATAAATGTAACAAGAAAAGCGAAAATTGGTTGTCTCATCTGCATACCTGCCCTGTTTTGTGATTTTATTGTAAAGTGCCCGCTTTCCAGCGCTTTCTTACGGTTATCGTATTGACAACAATATTTGTACAATTTTTTCTGATCCCATTGTAACAAGAAAAAAAAAATAGTAAATTGTTTTTGCTCGAGCTGGGGGGGGGGGGGGGGCATCTCGCCAGTTTGCAATTTGGTATTGGCCACACTGATACATCGACTTGTGTTCTAGGGGGCGCAAGCTACTGCTCGTGATAAGGGGTATAGCCGCTAACACCCATCCAAATCCAAAATAACTTTCTGTTTAGGAAATCTTCCTTTTGGCAATTTTGGTTGTGGCGCTTGTCGTGCACTGTGTTACCGGAACTTTTGCACATGATCCCTTGAAACCACCTTTACAACAAGATCTCGGGGAAAAACTACTTTGAAGCGTTAATTCCCAGCTATTCGACCGACTTTCCATTTATCAAGACATTGCATAAGGGGGAGGGGTGCGCATTTTGTAGTTTGTGCTGCTGCTATGTCAACATTTCGCAGAATGTTGACATCACAGTTCTGTCAACTAGTTTTGCTGTTGAAATCAAGGAGTAGCTTGGAGGGTACTTTAGCCGATCAACGGATCACAAAACAGTCCGAGCAGAATGCCTTTTTACGGCATTTTTGTTGAACAGAACGGGCCGATCACGGTGGCTGATTACGCCGGAGACCTCTTTCAGAAAATGTTCCCGGGCTCAAAGGGAAGCTACTAACTACGCTTGTGCTCGAACCAAGACAGCTTCGATACTGAAGGGAATGGCTGAAAAAGAGATCGGCAATGTTGTTAGTAGTTTCAGGAGTGACCCATTCTCGGTCGCGACTGACGCAAGCAATGATGTTGGCAATGACGCCAAGCTTTATCCCATTATAGTCATGTTTTGTGACCAAGTTTTGAAGAATAAGACAGTTTTCATATTTCTTCACATAATTGTAGTGTTTTTGACGTCCCCTGTAGTATTTTCAGCATTGTAGGGTTGGCAGGTCTGCATCTGTAAACTTTCTTTTTCATAAATGACGTATAAGGCAAATACGCGCGGATCACCAAAAGAGCAAGCCAATAAGAGGACAAGGTAAAGGGTGGGGCTGTCCTGCTGTGAGACACAAATTCTAAACTGCTGTGCTATAATGCATCCAAGCAATTTACTCTGCTTTTCAAGTTATGAAAAAAAAATTGAATTTTATTTTAGTAGTTATAACTGTTGTGAGGAAAACCTTTCATTCGGTTTTACTTGCTAGTTTTGTCAGTCAGATTTTTTTTTTTTTTTTTATGAAACCCCTAAGCACTTTTTTTTAATTCTAATTGGGGCTTAAAGGGCAACTTGGGTCAATATTTTTTTAATTTGAGATAACGACTGTTTGAGTTCAGTCTGTGTCCCTGAATTACAGGGTGTCATTTTTTTTTTCTTGATATTGTCTATAGTTTTATAAATGGTCACGGCTCAAAGTTTGGTTTTAGGCGTCTACGGCAAAAGCGAAACTATCTGCTAGAGAGGGATGGTAACACTGATATCGGCTGTACGGCTGCGATGTAACGTCAGTGGCGCTGTGGCATGCGTCGCCCAGTGTTGCTTGACTAAAGGCTAGCCCGCTTGCCACCTGCTAAAGAACAGCTGCTACAAAAGGCTGAGGCTCGCTTCCACCCCTGGCTGTGTCAAAATGCTCCTGAATGACTCGGACAAGCCGAATCACTGCATATAAGGAAGATCAGAAAGCTGAGTAGCTTGGTATGTTTGATTGTTGCAGTTGCTGAGCTCCAAAGAAGAGATGGGTAACAAGTCATCATCTCCAGGGCCTCCATCAAAGCCAAGTGATACCATTGAGGTAAATATTGTGCCTTGGTCTCCTCTAGTTGTAGTTGAATGTTACATCTTGTCGCAAGCCGTCCCGGTCACTTTGAGACAAAGTGCCAGCCTATGGGTTCCCAGGTAACAAATTTTTATCCCGGCAGAGTTTTTTTTTTTTTTTTTTTTTTTTTGTTTATTTATTTATTTATTGAGTGGACAGTATTGCCATATGTGATGGCATGGCAACCTTTCGAAAACTCTGCTCAGGAAGTGATGCAGCATTTCTTGGCATGCTACTATGTTTAGGCAATCTGTGCTGATGACAAATGGAAAGGAAGCTAACTACCTTGCTTTCCCCAAATTTCAATTGCAACTTGGCGTTTTCGGGCTTCCTAGGAATAACTTCCTTCTCAGAGAAGGTGGCAGGTGTCACATTCCTTGCAGTTTGGAATTTGTTCCATTTTGTGTTAAGAGTTTACTGTTGTGTGCGTCTGCAAATGCTGTGCATGGTACGTGAACAGTAGGGTATTGCAGAGCTCTGCAATATCCTACTGTTCACGAAATTTCTCCGCAACACTATGGGAGAGTTTGGTGCAAGACCGTTCGCGGAGCTGGCATCGACAAGGAGGCAGAGAGCCAGCCATCAATCAAGCCAGCGCCGCTGGGAGTCTGGCAGCCAGAAACTGTTACTGGAATTTCAAACCCACTTTTATATTGTGGTGACGCGTCATCGCACAGAAACGTTTCTCATTATATGCAAGCGTTTTCAGCTCTGTACAACTGATCAAACCTACTTTTTTTTGTAACACATCAATATAGTATTAACTTGTATTCCTTTTTCTTGTCTACAAATGACTTTTCTACACCACTTCAGAATTGAGGGCTAGGAGTTACGCCATCAAGTAGAGGCACTACGAGCCCGTGCGCCCAATCGCCTGGCTCTTTTTCTCTTGCAAAAGCATTAATTTCTTTTAAAGCAAATGATAAAAGCTTTTTTAAGCGCTATTGTTAGTGATTAATAACCCGGCTGAAATCTCTGCTGTCGCCACGCTGATTCCCAAAGAAATGCATTGCCATTTCCTGCTGTGGTTGTATATAACATAGCATGGTGAATGCAGCCTCTGAGCACTTTTCCACGGGGTGAACATTCCCGAAACCCCTCTTCTCCCTGGTGCAACCAGATCAGGTCACTTAGCATGTGCATGAAGGACGGTGGCTGCACAGGATTGGCTGGCTATGGAGAGTGGTGACGTGACATCTAGCTACTGAGGTGCAGTGGGGGACAGCGGGACAAGGATGTACTAGGGTTGCCGGTGGGGCAATGCAAGGCAGCATGTACGGGTGGCCAGGGACGGTTAACACGCGGCCCAGCGATACACTCGCCGTCCCCCACTGCGCGGCTCCAAGATTGACAAAGGGAGACGTCGCCAGCAATCTTCGGTTGCTAGGCGTTACGTCAGGCCATCACTTTTGATAACCAGCCAATCCTGTGCGGCCTCCGTTGCTATGCGTCCTGTCGTCAATCCTCTTGAAATATGCACCCCGCCACCATCTGTTGGTGCTTGCAGAATGTGTTTCCAAGCCAGTTTCTGCAGCCAGTGGGGCTGTGGCATTATCCCATGACGACGTTACAAACTTTATATACGTGTGCTCCAAACCAGTGCATGGTCAGCGCATGTACGAGGGCATAATGCTAACACATTAAAAGAATGCGCGGTGTTTGTACTGCAATCATATAGAAGCACAACAAAATGTCAGCGTCTGAAAGCTTTTTTTTTTTTTTAAACTACTTGTAATCACTAATTTGAAGTAGCTCGCTGGAGTGCAGTTGCTAAATGAAAATGCCCCCTTAAGGATGTGGCAAACCTGGTGTCAACTGTTGGCCTTGTACCTAACTTCGGCCAAAGTTTCATGATCAGTAGCGTATTGAAGGACTCTGGAGTGGAGTTGCTTGCATTTGTAATGTAACTGAAAGTGTGTATGTTTCTACATGCTTGATGCAGCACTCAACGCAACAGAAGTGCTGTGTTGGCTCAAAGTCCTCTTCGATTGATGTTGACCCTGGCGGGACTGTGGAAGAGGAGGAGGTTTGTGAGTTGCCCCCTCCCATGGAGATCCAAGACCACCTGTTCAAGCCCCAGCAGACTCCCGACTTTACGATCGACCCTGCAGTAAGCATTTGTCTGGCGAGAACTAGAGTCCTGTGTTTGCAGGCTTAAGCTGATTTTCAGAAGGTGAGATGTGGCTCATTTTCATTTTTCTTGCCCTGTTTTCTTACAGGAGCCCGAAGAAAAAACGTTACCCTGTGTACTCGAGCTACCATCCAAAGAGAAACAGGTGTGTCTTTGGTTTTCTTTTTTTTTTTTTTTTTTTATATATATATATATAAATTTTGTTTAAAGTCTGATTTGAAGCCAATGGCTGGTATCACTTTAGTGGGGTATGATATGATCATAACCAAAATACTCCATTGAAATGACAGCTGTCTGGGTGGCTTTGAGGCAAAGCGCCGGCCTATGAATCCCCAGGTGGCAGGTGCGAATCTGAGTTGAGGTGCCTGCAGTCTGACAAAGGCTTCTTGTGAAGAAGGCACTAAGTAATCGAGATTTCGACTGCACGTCAGAAGATCCCCAGGTTGTCGAAATTAATCCCTAGTCCTCCTCACGGCAGATGCCCTTCATTGACTTGGCATGTAAAACCTCGAAATTTGACTTTGTTATTGAAATGGTGCTGGGATCCAAACTAAAATTGTTATTATAACGCTAGCATCAGCTTTTTGACAGGCCTGCTGCCAGTGGGTCAGCTACAACTCAAGCAACACTGAGCAATGTTTCATTACTTTCATCCATCCCATGCTTTTCCGTTCACACCCAACAGCTGAAGCTGCATGCTGCTTTAATCCGCTAGTGTATTACCGCCCATTTCACGTGGAGAGAAATTCAGAGCAGCCATGGCTCGTGGGATTGAAGCACCTGTATGCACTGTGGCAAAAAAGGGGTGTCACCTTTGTCACCATACCTCATTACCACTGGGCGCGCTAAGTCCGTGCTCCGAAGCTCAAGACCTTGGTGCTCCGTTTGCTAAATGTACAGGAGTGCCATCGGAGACTAACGCTTGAGTGCACTCTTTGTGCACTAAGTTTTTCTCAAAGCGCAAGTGGCTTCTTTGCATTCCGTGTTGTCTCTTCCTCCAAAAAAATGTCTATGCTGACAGAAAAGTTGTCAAGACAAAGGGGTGGCCGAACTGCTGCCCTTTTTCAGTTGAATAATGTTTAGCCTAGCGGGTTAAGATGATTCAGTTGGAAAGCTAAAACACCAGTTATACTCCGTTTCACCTTACGTCGAGACACAGCGAACGCTACCGTATTTTTCGGGCTATAGTCCGCGGACTGTACATGTTTAAAAGTTGAAATTGCTGGCTGTGCGGACTATCTACGCGTGCGGACTATACAGGAATTATGTTTTTCAAGATCGTTTATTATGACGAGACGTGACTTGTGCACGAAAGTGTATGTTAAAGGGCCCATGAAACGATTTTTGGGTTGGGATAAATCATTTTAGATTGGGATTTTACTAATAGCACATCGTTCAGTGGGCCAAAAGAAAAAAGGTAAAAAGTCAAAAGCCTGACATTCAGTGCGAAAATTTGAAAACACAGCGGACTATTTCGTTCCTTCTCCCCTTCGTAACCGCTCTGCCTTTTCACGGGGATACATCCGCGGTCCCAAAAGCGTGTCATCGGGTCCAAACTGACGTCACACAAAACCGGACCTCATTTAGTACCTTCACCCCTAAGCTGACATTGTGGTGGAAGCTACGCGCTTGCCGGACCAATCAGCCACCTCCGTTTCATCACCTGACTTCATTCTCTGCAGCCACATTTGCCACGCTTACGTGGCAAAAGTGTGGTTAGCCCAAGGAGCACGTAGCTTCCACAGCACTGTCAGCTTAGGGGTGAACGGGCTAGGGAAAGGAACTTTTGTCTGAGTTTTGAGCGACGGGCTAATCTTCTAGGGGGAGAATGGATGTGTCCGGGGATTACACAAACCAGGTTCCGAGCGAGAGGGGCCTCCCTTCTTTTCGTCTTCTTGAACTGTTTGGTGGAATGCGCGATTTATGAGTTGAGGAGGAAAGCGAAACAGGAAAAAGTTGGAAAAGCGTTTCATGACCCCTTTAATGATGATTTATGCACATTATAGGCTTTATTGTGAGCTAAAAAGCAGACATTTGTAAACGTGTGCTGTCTATGAGAAGATGTTCGTGTCGACTAAGCACCAGGTGCGGACTATGCACCGGGTGCTAGCCAATCCCGTTCTTTGGACGTAACCCGTGATACGCTTTCCGCGCGTCGCTGTGCCCCCTCTCCAAGGTCGCGTGACACTCGCACAATCTTGGATTGGCTCCAATGGCTCGTGACATCCGCTGCGCTCGGGTGTAGGCTGAAAAAGTATACCATAATATCCCGAGTCATCGCCCACCCCACTGCCGCCTGAAATTCATAAAAAAAAAGGGGGGGGGGGGGTGGGCCATGTCTCGGTTGGTGAACACAAAAAGTTTAAAACATCGAAAAGAAAGGATTTTTTTTTTTTTTTGCGTATATAGCGCGGCTGCAGAAGAAATACACTGAACTCAAAACTCGAATTAGTTTTATTGCTTTGTACAAGAAATGCTCATGAAAGAATGTTTTACTGGCGCGAAGTGCTTGCATACGCGCCATGAACACCGCCGATCGGCGTACAGCGCGAACGTTTGTTCCGTGAAAGCACGTTACTGTTTATTCCTTGTTAGTTAAAAAAAAAACAGTTTACAAGAAAATAGAAAAACCAACCAGGCGCAACGTGCGAGCGAGCGAACCAAAGAAGCGACGAAGAGCGATGCTGGGGAAGCGGGAAAGCCGGCGATCGCGTTGGCAAATACTTTGGCGTTGGGCCAAGTCGGGCGCCTTGTCAATCGCAAGCTCTTGCGCCACTTTCTTGTTTGGTGCATACATGCGTGCGTTCGTGCACGGCGTGCCATCAACGCGGGTAAAGGCGGCGTTTCTGCGTGACGTGGACGGCACCACGAACACTGAGCTCAAAATGGGACGCTCTTGATCTTACACTCCGCAGTTACATTCCAGGATATGGGGCGTTCGCTAACCTCGCGATTCGGGTTAATGCTTGCGTTATCTTTCCGACTTTTTTTTTTTTTTTTTTTTACCTCGGGACCATCTTTTTGCAAGCAAAACAAACTTTCCTCTGTCGTTTTCTTTTCGCGCGGATACACTACGACTTCGAGGTCGCTCGCGGAGGAAATCTGCCCTTGTTTTACTTTGTCACGGACGTCCTCCAACTGTAAGGTCTGCGGCCGCGTCATTTAAGTAGGATGAATGTTCGCGGATCGCGGAGTCAACGTTGGGGTATTTGAAGGGGTGGGCGATGACTCGGGATATTACGGTAGTGTTCCGGAAGAGGCTTGTTCATGTGTCTCACCTAAGAGTGAATTAGCATGCTATCTTGAACAATTGTGTGCGGATGGCACATCAATGGGTCTTGCCCTTGTGCTGCAAGACAAAACTCCTGAATATCCTTGACAAGTTTTAAGTTTCCCCAATGAATGTGCCAGTCCAAAAATTTTTTTTTTTTTTTTTTTTTTTTTAAGTTGGGAAGGATGTTTAAGAAATATATTGGTGCCCCTGGGCCCTATGCGAGTCTCTATACACTGCGGCAGTATAAAGCATTTACTTCACACTCACCTGGTACGCAAGGGCTGCCGTAGTATTTATTTTCGATATAATTCCGGCTTCTGTCGCTGATATTGATGACATTTGGTTTCATATATATCTTAACCTTACTGCAGGAAGTGCATGACGCTGCGACTCAAAGATTATTTCGGGGTGTTAGTGATTGGGTTCCTGTATGCTATGCTCCGTTTAGTTGCTGCACTTGGAGTGTGGAACTTGGAACGTCGGAGTAGGAGTAAAGGAGCACAGACTCAATGTGCCCATTCATACTGGTACCCCAAGAGCCCATTATTTCAGTTGTGTTGCAAGTCAGCTGGATGGGGCGCAGAGGAGGGGACTGCATACCTCCTCCACGTACTGCGACAAGCTGCGAGAGAGAAGTGGAGAGGATTAATTAGCTCAATTTCCTTCCTTGGCTCTGCTCTGTCAGAATCGCCTCACAATGTGAATATTTCATCATAAAATAAATTTTCTTGGAAAATTGCATTCCAAATGTCTCTTTACGCCTTGGACTGCACAGAAGTGCTTGTATAAAGGAACATTGGAAGTGACAGAAACTACAGTTTATACCTCCAAAGAACTGAATTTCGAAGAAAAATTAACTGTTTTCTCATATTGCCTAAGGGAACTGTGCAGCATTGAAAGCTGAAGCTTTCTTAAAGGTAACCCTAGCTGTGATGAAATGTAAACTTTTTTGAGGCTGTGGCATTATCATGTCCCCCGAAACACAGAGGTTAATTGTGTTCTCTGCAGGCTGAGACATTGTTTCCAGATAGACAATTTTTTGAAATTGCTAGTAATTCATTCCGATGACATTGTAGGCTGAAACTTCCACATTTTGTCTTCGTAGCTATCTTCAGTGCACAACTTAGTATATACGATGCCCGAAATCCTGTCATTCTTTTTTTAAACAACACATGTCTAATGCGGACTGCAGGTGGTCTGCTTTTCTCGCAGGAGTTGCAGTGACGTCAGAACGACGCCGAGCTCTGATTTGGCTTCGATTGAAAGGATAGTGGATAGACCTTACTGCTACATTTCTTGAGGTCTACCCACTATTTTTTTCAGTCGGCCAACAAGAGCTTGGCGCCGTTCTGATGTCACTGCAACTCCTGTGCAAGAAGCAGACGACTCATTCTCTGCATTGTTTTCTGTTTAAACTGTGGATATGTAGACGTAGTGATGTTGTTGATTCAGAAGTCATGGTTAGGTGTACATATATGGGTTTTGTTAATTTCGGGCTTAATTGCTCTCCCCTGGCCACAACAGGTGTGCACCCTGAGCTAACAAGACCAAGAATTAAGTTTACCTCTGTCATTTTGTCTCATGTCTTTGGGTCACGAGTGCTTGTCTGGACATTTGAATGTTTTAAACTTACTTGTGCCCTGTCTTTGCAATGCAGATACTGATCGCTCAGGATGATGACTCGGAGACCACAACCTCTCAGGAAGACCCACAAGAAGGCTGCCTAGAAACGATTGTACCTGACGGAAGGGAGCGGGAGAAATTTTTGCAAAAGCGAAGGTAGGTTTTGATTTTATCATTATTTCTATGCACATGTTAAAAAGAAAGCCATTTACAACTCCCTGTAACGCCGAATTAGAGCGCAGCTCTTGAGGAGGTGGAAGGAAGGGTACTGAAGGTCATGTGTTCTTGGGGGGGGTTTATTACCTTGGGGGGTCCATTACCTTGGGGGGTCATGTGACCTGGGGAGGCGGGGGGGGGGGGGGGGGGGTCACGTGACCTCACGGTTACAGCGACGCCGACGCCGCTCAAGCCGGAAGCGGGTGCCTAAGAGCCGCGCTCTAAAAGTTTGTGTGAAAGTGGCTTGATTAGAGTTCACGTTGCCTTTGCAGCTTTGTGTTAAAGGAACTTGTCGACACAGAGCAGCAGTATGTCATTGACCTCGGCTACATTGTGGAGGTACATGCATTGCCTGGCCTTAGTATTCTGTGTTTTGTAGTCTGAGCATTGGACTAATGGAACATACTTGTTTCATCGCAGGGGTACATTGCAATGATGCAGTCCGGAGAAGTGCCCATGCCCGAGGACCTCAAAAACGGAAAAGACAAGATTATATTTGGAAATGTAGAAGCTATCTACGAATGGCACCGGGAGTATGTGCATTTTTAGACAGATACTATTGACTTTGTTGAATTCTTGAATTGTATGTTTTTAATATTTTGTTTTAACATTTTTCCAGCCTGTTTCAAGCAGAACTAGAGAAGTGCTTAGAAGAGCCAGAAAGACTTGGCCTGCTTTTTCGGCGCTATGAAAGGAGGCTCAACATGTATGTGGTGTACTGTCAGAACAAGCCTAAATCGGAGTACATTGTTTCTGAATACATTGAGACCTATTTCGAAGTGAGTAGTGCCTCTCTTCTTTTCTTCTACGATTCCATGAGTGCCTGCAGTAAACATACCAAGAAAAGTGCTTGTTTAAAGGCCCTGGTAGATCATAAAGCTTGCTGCGAGTTAATTTTTTAATAGCATAAAATTATCATTTCAATTAAACATGTGAACATGTGTTTTCTCCTGAAGAGACATTACAAACCATTCTCTGGTATTCTAGGTACTTGCCATATGATCAGCCCCTTGTTCCCTCCCCCCCCCCCCCCCCTTCCTTTTTCCCCCCCTATTTTATGAATCGAAAGAAGGAATTTTCTCCTTTCTGGTTATGCATTGGCTTTGAATTTGAGCTAGTTGCACTACTTATCCACACATTTTTTTCTGATTTCAGGAAATCCGTCAAAAGCTTGGCCACAAACTACAGCTGCCTGATTTGCTCATAAAACCAGTTCAGCGCATCATGAAATACCAGTTACTCCTAAAGGTGATTGTTTTGTAGCTTTCCAAGAATTGATACAGTAGAACCTGATCGATGAGGTGTTCAGAGGATGATGGTAAAAGAAATGCATGATCCGGAAAAACGTAACGGCCGATAACACCTTTGGGGCTATATACGAGTGGCTCTAGTTGATCCGATGCCGTAACATGCACCGGAAAAAATCGGTACCTGCATACAGGAGACTCAAACTTATACCAAATGTGCATTGAGCAGGTCAGTTTTACCTTGTCTAACTTCAAAGGCATAGTTCTCTTCCTATAAAAAACGAGGTCAACAAACTTGACAAAGTCATTGTTGGACACGTTTGCAGACGACCGAGTTAGCGACACTATTAACTTCCGGCGCTATCGCCCGATAAACGCTGTGAGCAGACAACAGAGTGCCTCATCTGCTTGCTGCACCTATCGGGAGATGGCGCCACAAGTTAATACTAATTCGGTCGTAGGAAAACGTTGCCCAACGTTGACTTTGGCAAGTTTTGCCAAAGTCAACATTGGGTTGACTTTGGCAAACTATATCGTATAATCGTAACCAAGCGATGTCTGGCTATAAGAGTGAGCAAAATTTGTGAGCCCCTGAATTAATCCGTACGCTCCCCTGCATCACCGGCCATTCCTAGCATGCAGGTGCGAAGTGGTAAAGCATGACGCGGTCGGTCTCCACACAAAATGAAACTACCGTATTTACTCGCATAATGACCGCACACTTCACAACGGGCATCAATATTTTGACTTTTTTCTTTTTCTCTCGTAATGAACGCACTTCAAATTTTTTCCTCTGCGAGTCTTGAAGCCAATTTTCTTTTGCTACCAAGTGGATAGGCCAAGCCAAGCCAAGCCGCTCTTGTAATGGCTGCAATTGCGTGGTTGTGGAAGTGATCAACTATGAAACCGAGCGGGGTGCACGCCTAGCGAAGCTCGAGTCAAGGAATTGCCCAGCCCCGGACATGCTTCGTCCATCGGATGTATTGATGTCAGCAAACGCGCCGTCGTCTGTGATCCACTTTTGGACAGTGATATCATGAAAGTGGTTAGGCCTAAGAACGGTCACGTCACTCTCCGTGCTGAGTGAGTTTGGTAGGGCGCTTTTTCTTCGGCAAAAGGTATTCCAAAAGCGCCCTAAAAAAGGTTTGCAATTTATAGAGTAAGGTTACTGTGGCGCACCCGCAACCAGCCATGGGTGTGCCTCTGTCAGTGGAGACGTGCCACAGTACCTTGCCATGTCGTATTGGCATCTAAAATGACATTCACGCAAAGTGTAAATGCTAAAATTTTACCCAGCGTAATGAATGCACCCCCCAAATATGTGTCAATTTTTCAGAAAAAAAGTGTGTTCATTATGCGAGTAGATGCAGTAGCTAAACCAGGGGAACCAAGCCATCGAGTGCAGCAGACGTGCAAGCGATAAAGAAAGAGATGGAAAGATGAGCGGGCTGTTGTAAAAGCCTGAATCCCTCTCGAGCCCAGTCCAAAGTTGTGCCCTCCCGGCCAAACGAAAAGTGTGGTCCAGAGGCAAAGAGGTGGAAAAGAAGTGGGGCAAAAGGAAGAGGGCGAGCATGGATGGGCGGCCTTTCACGTCACATAGATTGGCGGTTTTTGAACGTAACATTCGGGAGGGCAAACGGAATAAACAGGAAATTAGCAGACCCATCTCGACAGCAGTTCAATGGGACTGGGGTTCATGAATGTAACAGCCGAGAAAATATATCAACCGAGAATGTATCAATGAGGTTGCACTGTAATTGTGACATGGGTGAATCAATCGGGTTGTACTGTAGTTCTGACATGGGTGAATGAACTATTTTTACTTTTCCCCTCCGAAATTTTCAACACTTTATTTCTCTGAAAGAATTTACTTGACCATTTTAAGCTTCATTCTGCCACCTCCTAATTCATATAAAGTAGTCCTTTCCTCTCCATGCTTTCTCAAGGAGAATTGAAACAGCTGCCATATTTTTGAGCTTTAGGGACTTTCAGTCTTACTACAGTGATATATGTATGCACTGCATCATTAATCCATTAATCACTTTTTATCACACTACCACAGCAGTGTAATTTTGAGGATTGCATGTAGCGTTCAGTTGTCATGGTCCTTACTACTGCTGTTCGTTCTGGCAGCACTATGCATTTTTTGTCTCGTGCTAAATGCTTTAAAATGGATGGTTTTCTAAAGTTTGACTATGTTTATTAGTGTCTTATGAGACTGACTTAACAGTTACAACATTGAATTATCTTATTACAATGAAACAAGTCAAAATTGTAGCTTTACACAAATTATGGTAATGTAAGTGGTATCTTACAGCTATTAAAAAAAAAAAAAAAGGGTGCTGGTAATCATGTCGAGGCAGTATACATAGCATGTATGCAGGAAGCTCTATACATGCTAATATTATAAATAGTTTGATTATTTATGAATTAATTATTTAAATCATGGATATGGATTTCTTGCAGTGTATCTGAGAATTTCATCATTTCCTTCTCAATTTTCATATCGTGAGAATTCAGAAGGAAGTAGTACAGCATGCACTGTTTCTTTCAAATGATACTTTCATCCACAAACTTCCATGTAGATTATTTATGTCAGGTTGTAGATTTTATTGCAACCTCATAAACTATACTATATTGAACAAACTATTGAGCAAACTATATCGAGCATAACACTGTCAAGACCGGTTATAATGAAGTCAACGGGAATCGGAAATCCCGTTGACTTCATCAACAGAATGTGGTTGTGTTGTCCCTGTTTTAATTGTTTTATTCTTTCCTCATCTGTGACTTAAACCAACACGCTCTTCTCCCAAGCACTTAGCTCTACCGGCTCTTTTGTTATAACCGACTTCGATTATAACGAAGTGCAAAGGGGACTGAGAAATCGTGATCGCTTCGCTGTAGCCGCTATTTTGTTATAACCGACTTCGTTATAACCGGTCTTGACAACATATGAAAATATTTCACTTTGTTTACTTTAAAACAAATTCACTTTGCAGCAAATGGATGTTGTAAGAATTCACTTTACAACAGAAAAAATTGGGTTATGTAATGAAAATAGCATTTTGTTTTTCTGTTTACTTCTCTGAAGTTTTTAAAAAAATTGAGCAATTTTTATTTAAGTAATGTAGCTATCATAATCATATTTGGTTTCCAAATACTCTTAAATTGAACTAAGTCTCTTTCATTGATTAGGTGTGTACATCCTCAAAACTTCTATTACTACCCTGAAATGAAAACATTTTTAGCAGAGTAGTGAATCATTTTCTGCAATTCCTCTAAAGGATTTGGTTGAAAGCGCAAATTTGTTTGTCTAGTAGCTGATCTAGGTAGTACTAAAATCTTTTTTTCCTATTGCTTCCAGGACATTCTCAAGTACACGGAGAGGGCTCAACTGCACAAAGAAGCCGAAGATTTACGAAAAGCAGTGCACATCATGCACGTGGTCCCCAAAGCTGCCAATGACATGATGAATGTTGGGAGGTTGCAAGGCTTTGACGTGAGTTTCCTGTTGGACACTGGGCCTCCACTTGCAGTGCACAAATCTGTGAGGAGAGCTTGATGCAGGTTGTTTTTGCTGTTCCTGCAGGGTAAAATCACTGCCCAGGGCAAGCTATTGCTCCAGGGGCTGCTCTTGGTGAGCGAGCCATCATCAGGTGCCAAGTTTCGGGAGCGTCAAGTGTTCCTCTTCGAGCAGATCATCATTCTAAGTGAAGCAGTGGGCGTAAAGACACACTTTTCCAACCAGGCATACATCTACAAGAACCACTTGCAGGTGAGTGCTGTACAAAGAATGCTGCTCAGTGCGTTACACACTTGGCCCAACTGAAGGATCAGTACTCGCTGGCGGTTTTAGTCATGGAGGGTGTTTAATTACTACTAAACTTCACCACCTAGTTTTACATTGCACATTGCATGTTGGTTTTGATGCATGTCTCTTTTTATTGTGTCATATTAGATATTATGACAGAGCATTTTGGCTTATTGCCACAGATGGTTTTGCTTGGAATATTTGATTAGCTGTGCATTAATATTTATTTATTATGCCTTTAAGTCTGAACTTTATTTTGGTAACTTGGTTGAGAGCCTTTAGGTAGAGATTGTGGGACTCTTGAATGTATTTTAGGAAAAAGATAATGCACTTCTCATGTGTTTGTTCTTCTAGAAGGGATTAAACATATTCCATGGCACTTTACATTTGAGCTAAGAGTTTCTCATACCTCGCATAGAAGTGTTTATATTTATAGATTGTCTGCCTTCTGCATTGGTTGTGTTTAATCGATGGCCAAGATTCGTAACTGTTTTCTTATGGAGGGTTTCTGACCTTGTCTTTGCCTTTTAACAAACTTTGAGAAAAAAAGGCTCTACTCTACATGTACCTTTTAGTTTATTATTGACCACTTCCTTTCTTAATTTTTCCTCATCTGTGATATAATAACAATTAGTGCATTTGACAGATTATGGCCTTTGCCACTGCTGTGCCATAAGACTTCAATCTACGAAAGACTGTTACGAAGTGGGGGGAAAAAATAATAAAAAGTTTTAACTTTGTTTGAAAAACTATGATTTACTTAGAAAGAGAAATGGCAGATTCAGATCGGTGACAAGTGATATGGTTCACGCCCGTTGTGAAGTCAAGAGGCAACAAAACGCGAAGTTCAAATTAAAAAAAAATGTAATTAGGCGATGAAAAGTGGCATGCAGCGACAATACGAATAAGCTACCAACAAAACGCTAACAAGCGTTTACCACAGAGTACACCGATGGCTACGAAGAAACAAACCGAACACAAAACCAAAACACAACGAAACAATGTGCCGCTTCAGTACAAATGCAGTTGGGAACCAGGGTTCATCAGCGCAAATAAAATTAAAGTTCCGGAAAACAAAAGATTTAAGTATAAACCGCATGTAAGTGATTTGGTGAGCAACGAAACAAGCGACGGCGGTGAGGACCCGCTGTCGCTCGGTCAGTTGCGCGACGAGGCAAACTACATGAATGCGATGGGAGCAAGCGACCAAAGGGATGAGCGACAGTGAGAAATCTTTGTCACCGTCGCTCGTCTCAAGCTTGCTAAATCGCTTACATGCGGTTCAGCTTTTAACGGGTGGACCCGAAGTCCAGGGGAACGTTCAAAGGCTCATTGATGCTGGGTTGATCACAGGCTTGAATGATTGTCGTCGTCTCGTTGCTCGGCTGGCCCATGCAACACTGCACTCCCAAAACGGGGAAAAAAACACCGCCTGCAGGCAAAAAGCATTCCCGAAGGCACAGCACGCCCGAAGGCAAACAGATGCCCTCAGGCAAAACACGCAGAAACACAAAACTAGGGACTTAGCCCTCAAAATGAAAAAGAAACTAGACTCGCGACAAGAAGCAGCGTCCAGTCCAGCGGAGTGCGTTACTAGATCAAAGTCGGTTGACAAGCTTCCTAGAATGCCTGCATACCTGCCAACTCTCCCGAATTGTCCGGGAGCCTCCCGAATTTTGATCACATCTCCCAATTGTACGGACGCGACCTCCAATCTCCCGAAAAACAACCACAGTTAGGTTTTTTTTTTCTTTCTACTATAATCATCACGTGTGTGTCAGTGCGAGTTACTCGAGAGTAAATTTAGGTTACTCCGGCAGGTTACCACGTGCCAACACGGAACAGCAGCGTAAAACGAGGGTAGATTTTCAAACGCCAAGGTACGAAACCTCTACTCCTGAGTAAATTCAAGCACATTTTGGAACACAGCTTATATGATCATGGGTGCGCAGGCTTCAGTTGGCTTTGTCAGGTCGTCAAGTGAAGTGCGGAACGCCGAACTACTGTGTTTCCCCGAGTTCAGTTGTAATGATTGATGGCGCTTTCAAAAGCCAAGAAGAAGTGCTTGCAAGTATTTCTGAGATCATACACGACTGAGTTTCCGTGCTTTGTCGCTTTGCAAAAAGCTGACAAGTATGGATTTTGTACCATGTGCGCCTGTGATGCGAGCGTTTCGCATAGTGGCAAGCCCGACATCAAGATACACATTGCTTCACGAAAGCATCAGAACCGTGTTCGTGCTGTAGAAGGACAGGGCACCATCAACAGTTTCCTCCAAAACAACTGCTGAGACAGTGTGATCTGCGCGGAGTGCCTCTCCACAAAGTTTCTTGTCAAGCTAAAAAAAAAAAAAGGAATGTTTTGTTCACCGGTTGTTCGCCGGGAGTTTTTTTGCTTACAATGCCAACAACACAAAAATTTCTTTGGCTGGTAGAGGTTGATATCAAACAGTCCAAACATCCCTTGTCTAAGATTTTTACAGCTTCACTGTAAAAGTTTTAGACAAGTCGAGTGTGTGGACAACAATGGTTGTGCAATCACACTTGGAACGCCTTAACTTTGTTGATCTTTTTCCATTATTGCTTTGCCAGTTTTTTTTTTTATTTTTTTTTTTTTTTTGCTGTTTGAATTTACTGAGTTTTCTTTTGTTGCTTGTTTAACCTTTTATGATTTTTTTTTATGGTCTCACTCTTCCCTTTTTCTTTCTTTTTTTGGTGTGTTTTGTCGCTTGTGCTGTGTGGAGGTCCCGGCCAGCTGCGCGTGTATGCATGGTGGTGTTTGGGGAGTGCTTCGTGTTGTCTCCCTTGCTCTGTCCCTGTCTTGGGGCACATTTTGTCAAAAGAGTGGTGTTTGGTGTTCGCGGTCTCGCCAACTACGCTCTACTGTACTGTATTAAGCGGCTCTTGGATGCTCTATTGGGTAAGCTCCCGTTTGTCGCGACCTTTGGTATTAGCAGAGACGACGGTAAATTTCAATTTGAGCTTAATTTAACTTATTTTTGTATATCAAATTATTGATATAGCGAACTATTTTATGATCCCCTTTAAATTCAGTATATCTGGGTTCGACTGTAGTAGCATGTAAACAGTGATATTTTAGGACTGAATATTTCCTCTGTGAAGTTAGTGTGCTTTCAAAACCTGGTTTGCTGTCTCTAAGACAAAGATTAGGAATGAGCCTTATTGTTGCCTTCTAGGTGAACAAGATGTCGCTCAACGAGCACACGGAGGATGGCGACCCACTCAAGTTCATGCTCTGCTCCAAAGACCCGCACCAGGAAGGTGTTTCCTTCGTCATTCAGACCCCCTCCATGGAAGCCCGCAATGAGTGGGTCTGCAACATCCGTGCCATCCTAGAAACCCAGTTGGATTTCCTTAGAGGTGAGTGATCCACTGGCACTTTTCACATTCATGTTGCTCTTATAAGGTGTCTATTTGTCAAATGGGAGTTAGGACATCTCACGAGTTGTGTGCAATTCTAACACAGGCAATAGCATATGGCTTTCCAAAATATCTTTCTCGTGCAAACAAACTATTCTGCTGAGCTACCCTCTTGTACCTGTGCCTTTGCAAGCACTACGTACAAGTTAAGAGTTAAAGGCCTGAAGTCAGATTCAGAAGGAGCTCTGGCCAAGGAAGAAAATAACAATCAAGATGATTTAAATCGAGCCAATTTCGCTATAATGATATAAATCATGATTTGAATCAAACTAATTTGACTATAATGATTTAAATCAAACTTTTCTCCACAATAATACTGAAAATATTTCCGATTTACTCCGGTGTGATGAAAGGTGTGCGCCCGAAACGCTGCTTGTTTCCTTTGCCCTTCTTTTTGCACGTCTTATCTCTCGCACTTTTAGTTTCTATTTACTGTTTGTCTACCAGTGTTTGCTTCTCTTGGGCATTTATTTTGTATTTGAAGCAAAGAATGATCATGCAGGAAAGATTTACGGTATATCAGGAAGCCATTAAAAAAGACATCTAATGATAAAGGAGTAACTCTTTTCTTGCTGAAGTGCTTTAAATCATGTAAGTTTGGTTTAAAGAAAATAAATCTAATGCAAATTGAATAAATAAGATATATTTAACTTTTCAAAAAAAAAAAAAAAGCTAGATTTTTTTTTTTTTTGCTGTGGCTTGTCATGTGTCAAGCATTGTTTTGTGTCAGGTTCATGGACTTTGCTTTTGCTGTGTTCTCATTGATGTGAAAGGGAGGCTGTTCCAATTTACTGAATAATAGTAGGAGTGAATGACTGACTTTGAGAAAGCAGATGCTTCTTTTGCTGTTTTAATGTGTTTAAAAAACCATAAATCTTTCTTTCTTTTTTTTTAGAATATTGCTTGTGAGTCGTGATTGCAACCATGTTTGCCACATTTTGGTTGTTTAAAGTTTTTTCCTAGCCTCGTGTGACAGGCTACGAGAAAAGGCTGGTAGCATGATTGTCAAGAAGGTTTTCCATGAATTTTATTGCAAAAAAAGTATTGCCTCTGCAGCTTATGATAGAGCTGTCTTAGGCCACATACTTGACCCACTAGTGACAGGCAGTGTATTTAAAATTTTACTGAAGTGTTCTACATGTAGTGCTTCATTTTCTTGACAGCGATACAGTCCCCTATAGCGTATCAAAAAGAGCTCACCAAGGACATGTAAGTTGCTGCATTTCATTCTCATGCAAAGCTTCTGGGAAATTGCAATAGTGCTGTTAAAGGGTAAAGGGATTTTGTTTTATCATATATATCTTGATGGTGATACTTAGAGATTTTGATTAAATCACCTCCAGCTTTTTGAAATATCGCCAATAATTTGCTGGGCTGCATGATTCTCGCCGAGAAGCGCTTGGTCTTAGTAATTGCTATCATTTACGTACAGTTTGAATGTGGCATGATATAAGATGCGAGAAAATGATGGACGAGGCACATGCAGAAAGTAAGGACGGTTTGCGCATAAGTTCCACAAGAATATTTACTTTTGAGTCATGCATGCACGGTTGTGTTCCCTTCTCCATCAGTCACACCTTGGTGCCATTTCGTGAGACTAATTATTTTGCAGTTTGTGCTTTGCCAGTAGAATGACCTGCATCTCTGAAGTCAATTTTATGACTTTTTATTTAAGGCCACCAATGTCAAACCATGAAAGGTCCATCGACAACTTAGCAAAATTCATATTGCCGCGTGCATGTGCAGTGGTCGAGTGAGTACCGCACCTGACTCGCACAGAGGTCCCAGGTTCGAATCCTGGGACCAGATGCAGCTTTTTATTGACTCCTAAAATTCCTGGTTCTAGGAAATTCGAGAACATTGTCATTTGTTTCAGGAAAAAATGTTCTAGGGCCGAATGGTCTAGTCGGAATATTCCAGAAAGCGGAGCGGCTATAAAAGGGGCTCCACAGGGCCGTACGGAATCAGTCTATTGCCAGCGCTTGACCCTGCTGTCATGTCGACATTCGACGCCTGCGACTCTTGTTGTTCTCTTCTAAGTTTGGGCACGCATTATTTTCCTCAGTTTATCTTCACCTCGTTACCTGTTATACTTGACAATGTACTAAATGCAGTGTGCAAAGGAACAGTAGATAATAAGTTCAAAGTTGTGATGAAAGGCGGCAGAGTGCTCGTGATACGTTGCAGAGCAGACAGTTGGGTGGAGCAAGTGAATGATAAAATTCTGGATAATCAATGCCTTGCAGCTTCTGAGCTTAGTTGAGAAATCATTACTGCATGAAATGATTACAAAACACTTCGGTGGCACTAATTGTTTTCACAATGGATGCCAAAGGTGCTTGCTGAAGACTTGGGTGTCCGACTTGCACTACGAGAGTATTCAAAAACTTGCACCACAATATGACAAATGTCTTAAAGGAGCGATGCAACAATTTTTGTACTTTGCGCAAATACCGCTTAAAACGGATCCCTAACGTTAATGACCTATGAAACAGGCGTTCGTTTTTCACCCCACGCAATAGAAGTCCCAGAAAAAAATTAAAGAAAAACGAGCAGCGTTCACCCCCTCAACTCGCACCCAGAACAAGCGGCCACGTGATCTGGAGCCGATTATATGCCGCCAGTGTTGATCATAGCCACGCGCTGGGGTTGGCAAAGCGCAGGACACGCGCTGAGTTCCAGACGTTGTTATGGCTCGGCTGTTGTCATCGTTGCAGCGATTGGACACGGCTCACAACCCGAATGCTCCTCGAGCTAGCAATTGTCACGAGCCCAAGTCGAGTGCCCACGCAATGCTCGGGTCCAATCTATGAACCGCATTCAAATATCGTCACTTGGGTGTACTGCGATCCCCGAGTTACGTCATCAAATTTTGCAAAGGAGAGATTGAATGAAAATGATCGCTTTTGTCCTTGAAATTACACCGCAACAAAGGAGTTTCTTTGACAAGGGCGTTGCGTGTGAGTATCCTTGAGTCCCAGGTGTGCCATTAAGCTCGTGTAGAGAGAAAAACATTCCAATTGAATATCGTTGCACAGCTCCTTTAACAAAGGGAGTTAAAAGGTGATTAAGGTATGCAAAATTACTTTAAAATAAGCATCTCACAAATAATGTGGCATAAGTTTATTTTAAAATGGAACTTGCTTTCTGGGTGCACCTCATATATGTTATAAGTGTACTAAATAGAGGGGACTGACCAATATGTAGTTCCATAGGGTATCCTAACCTTTCCTTGAGGATTGAAGAGCATTTCTCTAAATGAACTATGCTTTTTTTTTTTAATTCTTTATTGATCCCTGAATCAGAGAAAGGAGGCAGAGAAAAAAGTAACTGACACGCTGCTTGACTAGCCTCTGCTAATGCCGTGTGAAGGAACCTCATGGAAGCCTCTGTGGCAGCCAACGTTGGGCCAAGAGCCTCAGTTTCTCCAAAGTGAAGACTCTTTGTGAAATGTTGGCTGCCGCTCTTAAAGCTATCTTGTTGTTGTTTTTTTACCTTTTTTTTTTTTAAAGGTCAACTTTGGTCGAAAATAAAACCAAAATAAATGATCATGTTTTGTGCCTTAGTGGCACAAAACATGATCACAACTGAAATGTTACGTCGAAGTGAAGCCGCACACTCCACTAAAACCGGTTTTAAAAATGCAACAAGCTGCTCTTCAGCGAGTGGCAAGCGGATTATCTTTTAGTTAAGCAACACTGGGTGACGCATGCCACAGCACCCCCAGGATGTCGCATTGCAGTGGTGCTGCGGTTGATTCCGCACGTTGCGCTGCGCACCGCAGCACTACGGCGACATAGCGTCGCGGCTGTACAGCTGATGATCGGTGTTGCCATCCCTCTTTAGCAGATAGTTTCGGTTTTACTGTAGACGCCCGAAACCAAACTTTAAGCCGCCATATTTATAAACCTACACACAGTATTGAGAAAAAAAATTTAACTAATTCAGGAACATTGACTGAACAGTTGTAATCCCAAGTTTGAAAATAGATCAGAGTTGCCCTTTACTAAAGCATTTAATACAGTAATCAGTCTATAATCAGATACAGCATAAGAAAGACAGTTTGAGGGGGAAAAGGGTACACATGAGAAAAGCCATTGTGGAAAGGAGGTTGCTCCTCTCCACTTCAGCTTTCTTAGTTTTCACCCTTTTCCCCCTTGCACTGTCTTATGTTGTGTCTGACTAAGTAACATTTTTTTACTCTGATTTTCATGGATTTCCACTCTTTTTCAGTGAAAAAAGACCACACTCTTGGCATTATTAACGATTAAAGCAGGGAAATATGGTTTGATTTATAATCGCTGGCTTATTCTTGCTGCCAAAGCACATTTTGTAGCATCCTTTCAGCTTTGATTTTGCTAGCTTGCTTTCAACACTGTTCTAAAGGCTATCCCTACCCTTTTTTGCTGGCTATTAAAAGCTTACAAAGTCACATCTTTAGTTATCTGCCATTGTAAAATTTGGTTGGGCCTTTGTCAGAGGGATTTGCCCTCTTCCTCGGCATGCATCGTTTTCTGGAGATTGCTCGTTGCATGCCAACTGCGCTCTTGGGAGCCCCCCTGCTGCTCCATGGAAAGCTGGTCCAAGACGTGTAACCCTTGCTTTGTTGTTTATACCTCCCCAGGCTACCTTCCCCGAGCAAAACTTCCAAAATTTGACCTCCCTCCAAAATTCCTGTATAACCAACCCCTGCTGTAAGTAAGGCTGTGGTCACCATCCAACTCTTGCGTTTTTTAAGCTGAGCTTTAAACTGAGTTGCGGAGCTGTGTGATTTGGTGGTGCCCTCATGGTCATTTTTATGCCTGTGGCCTTTTATGCTGCTCTCTTTTTGCTGCTGCTTTGCTCTTTCTGCTTTTGTTGCATCAGTGTTCTCCTGTCCTTTTGTGCTTTTTGATTGTGCTTCATTTTGAGGGTTACAATATTTGTATTTTTGTAGCAGGCTCCACTATCCCTTAACTTGATGTTGGCTACCCATCAGTGTAGGCTTTGTTTCCCTGCAGATTTTAGTACATGTTGATATTTTAGGGCTCATGTGGTGTTTTTTGTTGTTGTTTTGATCATGCAATTATATAGTTGGCAACCTTTTCATTTCATCTCCAAATGGAGTCCCTTGTTTTGAGGCACATCAAATGTCTAGGAATCAACTATGGCAAAGCTCACACAACTTGGGGCAGACCACATATCTCTGGAACATGTCATCTTGTGCATACGTCTGTATAAATAATTTCCGACCACACTTTCCAATTGCAGTATCAGCCATCAATCTTTCTACTCATAAATGAAATTTGGTTTGTGTTTCTTAATTGGACAGTTTTATTTTATCTCACTTGACCTAGCTCCAAGCCCTTAGCTTGCTACTGCACAGCAGGGAAATTCGTTTGAAAAGTCTAAGCACTTATTTGCCTTTCCTTATAAAGGAGCTAACATTCATGGGTGATTCCATTCTCCTTGAAAAGTTACCCCTGGGTTCTTATATCAATTTTTTTACTTTGAGGTTTCTGAGAAGGTAAATGGCACGCATTCTGTGCATCCTAGCTTGCATGCTTAAATCTCTTGAAATAGAACCTAAAAGGAGGCTATTTTGTTGATATTGAATTAGGAGTGTTAGTCCGTTGAGACTGGTCAGACTGATACTGCTGGTCATAACCGTTCAGCACTCCAATGCATGCATCTCCTGCGAAGGTGCTGGTCTACTCCAGTAATTATAACAAGTGGTGCTTGCTTTGCCATTATTCTTTATTGATTATTTTAGGGGTGTGCAAATACTTGAATATATGAATGTGAATCGAATAGTAAGTTCCTGAATTATTCAATTCGTGAATCGAATTCCTAGTATTCGGTCACTCGAATATTTAATATAATCGGCAAAAGACACGCAGTCGGCGGCGGAGCTGACAAAAAAGCCGTTTTTTCTCCCAATTTTAGGGCAGTGATGCTGGACAGACCATGCGAGAAACATCTCTTGATCCTACCATTCCACAAAGATCTAGTGCACAGACTAGAAAAAAAAGTAGTGAATGCCATAAACTTTATGGCACACAGATTTAATCACGATTGTCACACAATCTTGAATCGCAACCAAAACATCCTGCCGTAATTCCATGCCATGCCTAATTTTTTTCACAAGTAAAGCCCCTCATTTCAAATTGAGGTGTCGATGAAGAACACACTTGGCACACTCGCAGAAATCGGCGACTGCACGATCGCTAAAAGAACGCCGCGTTAACCACACCAATGAAACCAGCCGAGCTATCATCGTCGCTTCTGAACCACAAGCCGCGATTCGGAACAAAATGGAAGGGAGAAGGAATAGTGTGCCTAGATTTGAGTGTTTCTGACTGTTCGATAGCCGTGTTGTTTGGAATACGAGCTACAAGAAGGTGACAAAAGGACGAAAGCGTCGATCGCGTGCAGACGTCGTCACTCTTATATTCTCTTCTCTTCTTTCCACGCAACGACACAACGCATGCACACTTGCAACAAATCTGCACAGGATAGATGGTTTCAGTTACGCTTGCTTCATCTTTTAAATCTAGGCTCTCTAAAACAGGATAGATGGACTGAGGAATGATGCATAGCTGCTGTTGGACGGTGACTTGCGACCCCTTACAACATGTTTTTTTTTTACTTCAGATTAAATATTGTTTAAGCCAGTTTAATGAGATTTGACCCCTATCCCTTTATTTTTATAAGAAAAAATCACCTATGTCCTTTTTTGCCCTAAAGATTGTGGTTTTCTCAGGTATAAATTATAAAAAAGGATGTCGTGGTGCTCAATTCGTGCTTTTAACAAGGAAAGCAGTCATGCATGGCGGTAGCTTTGGGTTTTCCATGACGCTTAGGGTAGATAGACTGTTTGTGCCATAAAAATGGGATCTCAAAATCCACTTTAGTGCCGCACGTCCAGCAGCTGCTTTTTTTTTGTTGTTGTTTTTACCAGAACTTTCACACATTTGAGTTTTTGTTTTGCATCAAGTGCATACTCTGCACATAGAATATTCTCATTCACAGCGCACTTTGAAATATTCCTACAGATAAAATCAGTATTCAATTCAATATTCGGCTTTTTTTTCTTAATTCGATTCGGTATTCGATTCAATAACTACTATTCGGTATTCGCACACCCCTAATTGTTTTACTTGTTTCATTTAGTCTTCTGGAAAACTTTGATTCTTGGCTCATAGGAGGTCAGGTTTAATGCAATATTGTTTTGTTTGTGACTCAAATGGCTCGCTGATACTGTAATTCCTAGGTGTTTAGTGATTCGTCTTTTTAATGAATCTCTTCCGAAATTTTACTATTTGCATACCCAGATATTTAAAGGGCAACTCCGCTTCATTTTTTGTTTTTGAGAAAACAATGCAGTCCTCTTCAGTATCACCTAGGAAGATCAGACGTCAAACATTATGATGTAGTTCTTTCTAGACGTTTCTTAAACGGTCTGGCAAACTTTGCAACTCGCCAAGTTGCCGAAATCAGCTGACTCGAGCGGACATGGGCGTAGCCAACATTGAGTTAAACGTCATCATTTTTGCTTGTTTTTACTTCTTTGGGCAAGCGTAACGGGCGACGTCGGCAATGTTTCCTCTCGGTGCGCCTGCGCAGTGCGCTTTTTGGGAGCCGTCCGGCCGCCCCACCGTGGTCCTGCCATTACCGCCGTCTTTCGCGTCACAATTGCCGTCATCGTCTCGCAGTTTGTGATTACTGTCTCTCGGAGTTTCGTCCACACTATGGACCCTATGTTTGCAGACTTGTGCCGCAGTTGTTCATCCGTCATCGAATGGCATAGACACCAAGACGTGATGAAGTATGGGGTGCAGACGACACTTGTGCCTGGCACGTGCCCGCCCAATCCCGCCCGTTGTTGCTTAGAGGACGACGTAATAGCCATGTTCTTGGCAGCCCGAGGCCAATGTTGCCGGATGGAGCCGAAGTTTCGGTTTCGTTTTCTGCTCGTGTTTGGATTTAAAAATATATATCCCATTTTTCGCGAAGCAAATGATGTAGTGTCTTTTACTAGGACTTTTTCATGCAAAAGCACTGATTATCCCGAAATCTTCGGACTTGAGCGGAGTTGCCCTTTAAGGGGTCTTCTGTGTTGTGGGTTTGTAATTATTACATACCTCATTGTCGCCTTATTTAGACTTTTTCATGCTGTTAAACTTGACTCGCATTGTTAGTGACTGGGATGTAAATTGCCCAGGTAGAAGTAACTATGAAGTGTTGGCTAGTATAGGTACTATTTTTTTACAAAGGGTAGACACTTGGGTAATTTAGTTTTTCTGTCACTAGTATACTTTGGACACAATTTCATGTACTAACTTGTATTAGTTTCTTTGCTGCTTGCACTTTTCTGGTATCACTAGCAAAATGTTGAAGGGCAGGGTAGAGGATGGCGGCTTTAAATGGCAGAACCATGCCAGTACACTACAGTCGAGTCATTTCGAAGGATACTCATTTTTACAAAAATCAAGTGTAGTAGAGTGAAGAGGGTATATCTTTGAACTAACTGCATCTTTCTTGAAAGAAGCATCTAGGCACGTGCCTTAAAACGAATATCTAACAGAATACATTTTGAAGTAACTTTCCCAGATTTGGCTAGATTTTGCCCGAAGGAAGCAAAAGAGCAGGAGTGAGCCAGACCATGTGGTGTGTCCAGCTCTGCGCCGGAGCTGGGCTCCCTGTGGAACCCATCGCTGCGCAAGACGCTGTCGCACCCGGCGGCGGCCCACAAGTCGGTGCGGAGTGCAGCCATTTCGGACAGCGTGCCGAGCCTGACGTCCAAGTCGATGCGGCACCCGGGGCGGGACAAGAAGCTGTTGCGCCCCGGAGCAGCAGCAGCAGCGGTGGCGGGGGCCACTCCCGAGGCGGCGCCTGCTGTGGAAGAGCCGCAGCAGCGCAAGCAGTCGTGCCCCACGCAGCAGAGCCCGGGCAAGGGCAAGCGCAACTTCTTTGAGGGCTTCCGGAACACGCTGCGGCCCAAGGCAGCCAGCAAGTCGGACGCACCGCTGTGCTTCAGTCACAGCCTGGATTCGGCCAGCAGGCCTGCAACCTTGGACCCTGGCGGGGACGGGCGCCGCTGGTCGGAGACGTCGCACCCGGTAAGGGCCCCTGCTGCGCCGGCCGCTCTGGAGGGCCCCCTGGCCACCGCTGCTCACGACTGACTCTTAACCCCCTGTGTGTTAGGACGGCTATGCACACGTGCCTGTACATATCTGTACATAGACGGCGGAAAGGGATAACACGGTGTCTTAGTGTCTGTGCCCAACTTACCATGCATGGTTGTTTGTGTACTCTCTGGGTGTGTGCACTGCCTGCACGCACGCACGTGCGTGACATGCCGCTAACCAGAGTGAATGTTGTACATAGGTGTACATGGAAGTAAGTGTGTAAAAGAGGCAGCATGACCTAGCTGACAAGTAGAGATTGCGTGTAGGTAGGCGTAGATAAGGTTGTTGTTGTTCGACATTGCCACCAATTGATGTTACCTGACAACACCAAAAGCGGCACTGGCACTTGGTGGGAGCTATTGCAGTGCCTCTGCCGATGGTCGGGCCCACTGTGGCAGTGCTTCCTGCGGCCGACTGGGCTGCCGCACTAAAGTCCATGTCCAAGAACAAGAGAAATGCTCAGCTTCCCTGAAATGCTACTTAATTTTGCATTTGCGGGAGTTCCTCCATTGTGGCTGTTGTACTTTTCACATTGTCGCAAGTTGTTTCTGCCTCTCTCTCGTGCCCTCCTGACCGAGTCCCAAGGGTCTGTGCTTTGATGAGTTGTAGCCAAGCATTCAGCCAAATTGAAACCACGGAAGTTGAGACTACATGAAAACACAGTACCTTGACAAGTGGGCCGGTCCTGGTCTTTTCCGGGCAGCCAAGATCCTTTCCAGTCTTTCGAGGGCGTGTTTGGTGCAGGCTGTTGTGTTCTGTGTCTGGCCAGAGAGATGCATAATATTTTACACCTGCAGGAGAATGGTTTGTTTGTATAGTGTGAAATATGATCTGTACATTAAGTCCACTTCATGAACCCATGCGATGAAAGGCATAAGGCATGTATAAAGTACTAGTCAGTATTTATGGATAAATGATTTTATAATAAACTTGTTCACTTGCATGTGTGTTTTTACTCTGCACATGGTGGTGTCTGTGCTAAAAGACTAACTATTCATCTAAACTGTCACGTGGAAACTGCATGTGTGGTGAAGACTGCTCCAAGGTAGGTGCTTGGACTATGTGCAGAATGTTTTCTTAATGTGTTCGAGAGGAAGTGCTGAAACAGAAACTATATATAAAGAAGGATCGAATGCTGGGGCGAGACTGCCTGCGGCTCGCCACGCGGAGCCCCTTATGTAGACACGTGGGCTTCTGGAACAATCATCGTAGAAGGTTCGGCGCGTAGAACATTCCAACCTCGAATAAGCAACAGGGTTCTTGAATTTACAAGAATGCGACATTACAGAAGCAACAAAAACGTATAGCCGCAGCCAGGCATTCCACATCGGCTTTTCGCATGGAAGGCAAGCACGATAACCGCTAGGCCATGGGCGCGCTGCCTACTTGGCCAGCTGGGAGTGCTGCAATATACAGTGTTTCACAAAACGCTAGCCAAATCGCTTCTGCAAAAAGTATGCATCGCAGAGAAAAATTGTTGATGATGCATTGATCTCGAAATGGCAGGGCTGGATTATTAAGATATGGATTAAGGAGGCTGCAGCCCTAGGCCCCTGGCTGTCAGAGTGCCCATACTGGCCCCTGGAAATTTGAAAAGTGTTAGTCGTTTTCTATTTACTGCTCAGTCCAAGAACAGAAGGAACACACAGAAGGGTCATTGGTGCGCTGGCCTTCCCTTTTTTTTTTTTAACTGGGAGATGGGGATGGGCCATAAAGTTCCCGTCTCTAGACAAGCTGGCGTTTGTGAGCTCGTTGTACAAGAGCGTTCCAAAGCAACCAAATTTAATGCGGTCTCTCATGCCCCTTTTCGCAGAGGGGGTTATGCCGTCGGCGTTGCCGGTCCCATTGAAGTTTATTCTAATTTAAACTTTATGGAAGGACAGCCATGGAGTTATCTTTTGTACTGGGTCCCTCTTTGCGTGTTTTATGCACGATTGCGGGCATCAATTTGAACTTTTTCAACTCGACTAAACATATTTTCTGAAAAAGGGCAAGAAACAGCCTTGAGCAGCAAGTAAGTTTTCCAAAATCATTTCAAAGGTATACTGAACTGAAATTTAGATTCCGCAAAATAAGACCACAGAAGTGTTGAATGGGATGCGATCAAGCGAGGGTTATGACGTCATTGTCCTGGAAAATTTGAGAATGAGGGGAAGTGGCCTCGCTTCCCCTCATTTATTTTGCTGAGGTATGATGGTGCGGCCCAAACGTTGCCCAGATCTATTTTGTTGATTCAATATTTGCTATGTCGCCAAAAAAACTGAAATGTTCTATGTAGTCGGCGTAGAACGTTCAGACCTCGAACAAGTAACACGGTTCTCGAATTTACCAGAACGTGACATTCCCAGAAACAACACAAATGTGTATCTGCGGCCAGGTATCAAACCTCGGTCTTTTGCTTGCGAGCCAAGTATGATATATTCGGCCACGAGCGCGCCTGTTCGCAGACACGCGTTACAGTATGTAAGCCTGGTGTAAAAAGGTTATAGGCAACATTGGGTACGTGTGAGAATGATATTTACGCTTCGCATGAGGTTTTTCTAAAGAAAACCTTTTGCATCCTGTTTTTTGCATGCCGTTACATTTGGTACCAGACTCGGCACTGAAGTCGATTCTGATATCGTCTTTTTGTGATGACAACTCAATCCAGACGTTCTAAACATCCTAACAAACCCGAAATCATAACCGTGCGTAGCTTGTTTCCTCGTTAAAAAAGTGAAAGCCGTTTACAACTCCCTGTAACGCCGAATTAGAGCGCAACTCTTGAGGAGGAGGAGGAGGAGGTAAGGGTACTGAGGGGAGGGGGAGGGTCACGTGACCCCCCCCCCCCCCCTCGAAGGAACCCGAGATCCTTGGGGGGGGGGGGGGGGGGGGGGGGGGGGGGGGGGCTCGGCTCGCGGTTGCGCCGACGCCGCTCAAGCCGGAAACGGGCGCCTAAGAGCTGCGCTCTAAAACGTTCAAAGATCGCGACACACCTTTTTTGAGAACAATTTTCTTCAGAGTGAAGTGGTCGACGAAGGGCACTTGTCGGCGAGTTTCATACCGGCACGCGTTCGTGTAATCACTACTGCGTGATGCACGTTAAAAAAACCCAGGTTAGCGGTTGCACTGCACTGGATAAATTTCTCATCTACAGCTAAGAGACCGATCACCCGTTGAGGCTACGGTGACCCCCCGTCCCGCGACTCGCGGGACTGTCCCGCATTGAAGGCTCGCGTCCCGCGAGAAATTCCCAAATCTTCAAAATGTCCCGCATTTCACACTGTCGTAAAATTCACTCTGCAACTCATGGTGCTGCCGAACAACGAGGCACGGGGAAGCGCTGAGGTCACTGCTAATCCTGTAATCCTCTTCACTAGACGCGGCACCGCGGGCCTCCTTGGTACGGGCTGTTGCCTTTCTGCGGTGCCGCGGCTCTCCTGAGCAAATAAAGATGATTATGATTATTAAATCACAATGGTAAGCCATTTTCTATCCAAGTATTACGGGAAGCGATCGTCGTTCTTGCAGGAGGCTTGACGCGCATGCGCCGTTGTGCCTCTCCCCTTAGTGGCAAAATATTGTAAAAGAAAATTTCTCGTTTATTGCTATTCATATCGCTGTTTTGACGCGAAGGGTTGCTGTGGATTTCTTTTTTTTTTTAGTGAAGAAAGCCACACAAGGCAGGAAGAAAAAGAATGTATTGTTAAAAATTTGTTTAGGACCATGTTCATAAAAGTAAGCTTTGACAAGAAACAATAACCCGAAAAAGATTTACTGTTTCTTGATTTCATTTGATGCGTTGAGGGCTGCTGGAATTGACCTTTATGCTTTCAACTTCGACACATTTAATAACATATTTGGCATAAAACGTATATATCACTGGGAGTGAAAACTATTTTAGCTTAATTGCTGCAATACAATTTGCAGGTGTATAAACAGCACAGGATATGAATGTGTTAACAGGGCCTCGGTTCGTGCTGTGCGTGTTCATAAATTTCCACAACCAACCTTCAGTTTTTGCTTCCTCTTTTTCGTTTACTTCATCATTATTATAGCAGGCAGGGCTATTACCATCTTAGATTCTACTGTGTCCTCCCCAGTATTTGCCCTTTGTGGAGGCTCGACAACGGCCGTTTCAGTGGCTTGGTATCTCGGTAATCTCGGTAAGACGAAGAGATCAGCAATGACGGATGTAATCTGGCGCGTGTGCACGTCTATCATCTATGGGAGGTATTCACTGGACGCCATATTTGAGGGTGCTGTTTAGAGCGCATGCTCAGAACAAGCTCACATTCATAGGCTGCTAAGAGCGGCAATCTTGATGGTACGGAATGCACGTTGCAAAAGAACTGGAAGCTCGCCATCAGCACGCGCTCAGCATTCGCGCACACGGCTATGGCCGCCAATGAATACTTCCTATAGGGAGTATTCACTGGACGCCATATTTGTGGGTGCTGTTTAGAGCGCATGCTCAGGACGAACTCGCATCAATAGGCTGCTAATACCGGCACTCTTAATGGTGCGGAATGCACGTTGCAAAAGAACTATGGAAGCTCGCCGTCAGCACGCGCTCAGCATTCGCGCACACAGCTATGGCCGCCAGTGAATACTCCCTATGGGAGTATTCACTGGCGGCCATATCCGTGTGCGCTGCTGTTGAGCGCGTGCTGACGGCGAGCTTCCGCGGTCCTTTTGGCGCGTGCATTTAGCACCATCAATGTTGCCGGTCTTAGCAGGCTATTAATGTGAGCTCGTTTGGAGCATGCGCTCTAAACATCGCCCTCAAATATGGCGTCCAGTGAATACCTCTTATAGCGCGCGGCGGCGCTAACAAGGCATTGCGCGTTGCCATGGCTTCACTACGTCCTACATGTAGAAATGCTCGAGGCACGTGCCGCGCGCCATGCACTTCTGGGAAATTCACAGCGCCCGAAATCTAGCTCAATGCT